ATGGAATTGATAGAAACTGCAAAACACAGCTTTTACAGCATACCTCTAACAATTTCGTCATCGGCGAACCCGCGCCGGCAAGCCGCGACGACTCGAGCCGCACCACCCTTAAGTTGCGACCTGTCCAACTCCACACGCGCTGCAGCTCGATCCAAGCATCCTCTCAGCCGTGCAGCTCCTACACGAGTCCCGACCACTCCTTAGTTGCGCCAACGAACCATTCTCAGCTCGGTTTCGTGAGCCACGCGCCGTTTCCAGCACGGTTCGCGAGCCCTGCACTTGCTTTTCCGGTGAGCTCGCGACCTCATCCGTGCGTAGGCCCATTTTCTGGCGAGTTCCCGACAACTGCAGCTCGTCGCTGGCAACTCATTAACAGCTACCCCCAGCTCGTCCACGTCACCCACGGCCCGCATCCGCCGTTCACAAGCCTCAGTCCCGCCGAGCTCACGAGCCTTTGTGAACCAAGTCCGCTCACTCCGCACCAGCGCGTCCCAGGCCTGATTTTGGCGAGCTCACGCCTGAAAAATAGCACCTCACCGCGACTGGGACCTTCCCTTTACCAAACCCGTAAGCCAACGCCTCCACGCGCGCCTCCCAAGCTCGAGCTCGCGCCACTTTGCGATAACTGCCTAGACTCGCGCCCCTTGCTCCAAACCCGACCAGCTGATGTCCACGCGCGCGACCAGTGGCACTTTTAGTCTGATTTTAGCACCCTCAGCCCGAGTCCAAGGCCCACTGCCCCTAATTTGGCCTGATTTGTTTTATTGGACCCATTTTCTAGCCCGATCCACTCTCGTTTGCTTCGATCCGAGGCGTTTTAAGGTAAAAGATCTTAAACCGGACTTCGATGGCTTAGATAAAGTATTTGAGGTGATATAAAATAAATGAATTGGGTGATTTGAGCAATTTTGAATTTTCGGGACATTTACGAGCTTAAAGCTATTTTTCGAGACCTTTAAAATAGATGCGATAAAATGTTGAAATAAATACCATTAAATTCGTTACGTCGTTTTGAGGCTTAGGTGCGAATTTGAGAATTTTTGGACGTTGTTTGATAGGTAAACGAGCCGGTCAAATGCGTTGACCGATCGTAGCGATTTTTAGTTGACTAGTCTAGGGGTTGACTTTAGACTTGATTTGTTGACCGTGGACCATATATATATTGAGGATGTTATGTTTCGATTTTCGGAAATTTTAGATGTCGTTTGACTTAGTTATAAAAATTTGGACTTTAGATATTAATGCCGTAAAAATAAAATATTAGTTTGATTGAGATTTTAGCTACAGTTGTGGATTATAGATTTATTATAAATCACATAGAATATGTATATTAATTATCGGCCTTAATTGAGTTAGGATTTTTAAGAATCGAAACCCTAGTTTTATCCGGTTCCAATAACCGGGAATTTTTCCAGATCCGATTATAAATGTATGAACCCTAGTACCGTCTGAATAATTTTTAGTCATCATATCGTTAATTCGTGATGCGTATCGTCGTCTCGTGCACGTGATCGCCTCTCGTCCTACCGTTGTAGCCGAATCGCCGAGTGCGTGTCCGTGCACCGAGTCCGAGTCAAACCCCCGAGTGCGTGCCCGTGCACCGAGTCCATCCAACCTACCGTCTACGCGTCGTCTCCGTTAGCCGTGGTCCAAGCACGCCCCTGCGTCGGTGACCGTGGCACCGTTCCAAATCCGTGCATCGGCTAAGCCGTGTCTGTCGAGTTCGTGTCGGCCCGAGTTGCCACGCCGAACTCAGACCACGTTTAAACCGAGCTGCACGTAGTGAAGCAAATGATCGATCGGTTCCGAGTGAGCCGTGGTCCAGTTCAGTTGAACCGGTCCGGTCAGTCCGGACGGTTCTAGATATATTTCAGATAGAATTTCAGAGATAGAATTTCAGATATATATTTCAGTTAGAATTTCAGATATATATTTCAGATAGAACTTCAGATATAGAATTTTATAGAGAATTTCAGATATATTTTTCAGATAGAATTTCAGATATATATTTCAGATAGATTTCAGATATAGTTAAGATTCCAGATAGATTAAAAATCCAGATATAGTTTAGATTTCAGTCAGATTAGATTAAGTCAGATTTTAGTTCCAGACTTAGAAATATTTCAGAGAACTCTAGAATGCCTCAAAGACAATAATATTTTCAAAAATCAGCTCGTAAATCCCTAAAATGATTTTTAAAGCAGAGTGAGCGAACATAGATATATAAGGTATTAAAGATTCGAGTTTTATTCTGAGCCCAATACTTAGATTATTTCGCTCGTAAATTTTGTAGCTTGAGGAGAGTCGAGCGTCCGCCTGCTATACAACATATTTTAGATATTTCAGCATCCGCATTTGCCGTTTTCCAGGTGGGGACCATGTACTGTGTATTTCATCGCTTTTAATAATTTACCATGTCTTAGATCTATATGTGATTAAATTGAAGGATCGAGACGGATGAGTGATCCCGTCTTGGTCAATATTTCAGTATTTCAGTTATGACATGGATGTGTGTGATTAGGGCCCGTCCTAAGTCTAGCGTCCAGATGGGGTGAATAGTGCCTTTCCTGGATTTCTGTGGGAGGGGACCCCCAGAGTGTGCACATGAGCACCGGTTTACCGTTAGTCCCATAGCCAGACCAGTTTATTCATATATATGTTGATTTCATAGTTTGTTATTAATTGTGCTGAGTATTCAATGCCGGTCCTGGCGGAGCACTGTTGATTCCTTTGTGCTCACGCCTCCCCACTACCATATTTTTCAGGTGATGGAGTCCCGCGTGGAGCGTGAGCCGGATGTGGTGGTGGTCATCAGTCAGGATATTTGTGTTATGTCATGGTTTGAATTGTTGCTTATTGTCTGTTTGCCATTGATGTTTGAACATAAATTTGCTTCCGCACTCTAGAACTGTATTTCAGAACTTTAGATTATTATTTCAGTATTTTAGAATTTCAGACTAGTCAGTATTTTAGAATTCCAGACTAATATTCAGATTAGTATGTCAGTAGTTCAGAATTTCAAATTACTATTTCAGTATTTCAGAATTTCAGATTAGTATTTTAATATTCCAGGATTTCAGACTAGTGTTTAAGTATTTCATAATTTCAGATTAGAATTAAATATTTCAGGATTTCAGAATAGTATTTCAGGATTCCAAACTAGTATTTCAGTATTTCAGAATTTCAGTCTATGCATGCTTAAATCCTGAGATGTTCATGGCGCCTTAGAGTAATGAATTATACTCGGTTGCATGCCTAGTAGTTTATAGATATTAAAGATTAAAGATTTAAGATTGAAGTTGAGTACCATCCCGCATATTAAGGTTAAAGTATTTTAGAAAAATTAATATGAGTTTTCGAAAATTAAATAAGTGCTTTCCATTTATAGCGCAAAAATTTTACTCTGATTTTAGTAAGTCTAGGCGGGGTGTTACAGTTGGTATCAGAGCCACTTAGTGGTTCTGTATACTGAAATTTTAGTGAGATATGACCACACCACGCTCATGCCACGCCGACTCCGAGGTACGTCATCTGTACAACTTTTATTAATTGCGAATGCATATTCAATTATAGTCACATTATTTCATGGGCGTATGATCTATTCTTCGATTAAGATTTGAGAATTTTAGTCAGAACTCTAGTCAGAACTTAGAAGATTTTAGTGTAACCGGAACTGTAGCCAAGCTAGGTGTTTTCGGAATTCGATAAATTATTAAAGTATAGTGTAGCTATTTATTAATCGGCTATACTGTTTTAGTCAGAATTTCTGTAGAGTCAGTTATTTGTACGCTCTACCTTGACTTTTCGGAGGACGGAGCGGAATATAACTCTAGAAACAACCTCGATTATGTTGTGGGCAAGTACCTTTTTCTACGTCTCGAGGATAGTCGTGGCGATATATTAGCACCATAAGATCGATTTCAAACCTTAGAATTAAGGCTGAGTAAATTCTACATTACAATAAACTCTGCCAGAAATGGCAGGACCCAACAAACAATAGCCGATCCGAGATCAACAAGGAAGAGGCAGTGCCAGCGCCTACGCTTGTCACCAGTAGAAGCAGAAGTCCAGAAGACTCAAGAAAATGCATGTAGTTTAACTATTTCCATTCCGTGAACTCGCAATACTTTTGTTGCGGGAATTTCTCCATACTTTTGAAACTCCGTTAAAAATTCAAGTTGAGACCAAAATTTCAGTGCATTCGTAATGTAAGCAAAGAGCGAGTTATTTCTATAATTTGACACTTGCGAAAGTTAGATTATCGCGTCAATAGATTGCAACACATAGATATAGCAGTGGACTTTCCATCGTTTGAACTATTTAAGCTTCGAATTAAGTTCTAACTCTAGAGATTACCTCACTTGAGCTGAAAAGATGCCTTCCAACTAGTATAAGAAGTAATAGTTTTCAGTGTATAAGAGTCATAGATCCGGGTAAGTCCTGGAGGTTTGAAATAAAAGCCATAAGTCTGGGAGAAACCATGGAGGCTTGAAGCTGAACCATAACAGACATGTTTTCATATGAGGTGATCTCTAGTAGTCAGAGAAAGAGGAGACCCAGTTTAAAGGAAGCTGGAGCGAGGATTGCACATTCATGTTTTGACTCCGTCACCCAAGGAAGTTCCAATAGTATGAGAATACTCAGACGTCAGTTCGCAGAGAATTTAATGAAAGTCGAGTGGGAGTTTGCAACCACCATGATTCAAGAAGGAGAACCAACTTCCTCACACGTGGAAGTTGAGATAGCATGTTTAAGAAGTCGAAGACTTATAAATTCTGCATACCTGTGCCGAATGCCACAACTCTCGAGTTGGAAGTTGTGGGCAGATGGACGATATGCCGATAGAAAAAATCTAGAAGCCATGAAGAGAGAGAAAACTTCAGTGACAACGCCCGAAGAGTTACCATCGTTTTAAATCACGCGTACGTATTTTTAAAATGTTACCGAGAAGACCACCTGACCGACAAATGAAATTCGATTGACCTGATGATGGAGAAGGACTCGTGTCAAGAGCGCCAAACCGAGAGACTCCAAGAAGTTGCAATAGCTGAAGACCCAGACTCCAAGAAGCTACAAGAGCTGAAGACCCAGAAGCCAAGAAGCTACAAGAACTGAAGACCCAGATCCAAATTGTGAATTGTTGGACCAAGACCGTCACCCTAGGGTGCGCCAGATGGTTCGTGAAGAAAGGAGATGAGCACCAATTACCAAAAGTTATGTAGACTCAAGGAGGAGAGTAAGTACTCACCTTTGAGAGTCGAAAAGTTGTCGACCCATGCGGGAAGACAACAAGTTCCAAGATTGAACTTGAAGCTCGGACATCCTCTATGAGAAGTTGAGGAGCCCGAAGCCTCAAGATCAGAAAGCACGAGAAATTTGAAGTGATGAAGTCATCTCTAAGTACTAGTGGTGTACGGCATCACTAGTTTTAGAATAGACGTTGAAGGAAGAAAGAACAGAAAAGCCGCAACATTGAAATTTTAAGTACCCCTGGTAAATTTTACCCATATAAGTAGTGAGACCCTCGATTTGTATCAAGAAGATGTTAGATCCAGTAGTAGTGCGCCGAGTTAACTCAGCGTCGCAGTACCGTTAAGCCACTAGCATAAGACGTGGATACGACTGTGTTATGACTGCAGGCAATACTGACGTCGCAGGTACATCGCATGCAGGTGTTCCGCGCCCATGGGCCCCGGGTAGTGGGTAAGCCGCATGCAACTTACCGTGTGCAACGTACCGCATCGTCAGGAGCCGAGTCAAAGCTAGTCGAACCGCAATTGCTAGTTTTCCTCATCAATATTACAGATCGATGGATGATCAGAATTCTCAGATGTTTGCGTTTTGAATGACAAATCCGTTCGAAAGAGCGATTTGCTACTAAGATAGTTAGTAAATGTCGATTGACATGACATCGTACAATTTAGTACGTGTTGGTGTTATATACTTAAGCTTTGCTTTAGTGGATATTACACTTGTTATTCCTT